CCACCCGATAGCTGAGCACAAAGGAGAATTATTAGTTGAAGATTCAGAGCTTGACTTGTAAAATCACGAAAAAGAACTACAGTAAGAATAATAATAATAATAATAATAATAATAATAATAATAATAATTGATAAGCAAAATTTCAAAAAACATAAAACAACAATAATAACAGAAAACTTGGTGCCATAAAATATTTCTGCGATTATAAGCTAGACGTTTACACACGTACACATTACACACTGAACCCAATACTGAATAACAAAAATAATAATAATAATAATAATAATAATAATAATAATAATAATAATGAGACTGATATTATTAGATGGGGTGGGTGGGTATGGTTTGGATATCATAGAGGAATAGGAGTGACTGGTCTTGTACCGTTAGTGTGTTTCTATAAAAATAGGAAGTGATTGTGAGGCAAGTGTGCATGGTCATGCATATATACTGTACAAGATGATGTAGTGACAAGGAATTGTAATACTCACAAAATTTTGACAAATAGCGACAATTGGTAGTTCTCTAAAAAATCACTTATACATACATGTACATGTACAACACATGGCACAAACTGATCAATAATTACTGCCTTTACTTCCAAACTTACTAACAAACACACCATCACTAGTGAAGACTGATATACGATGATTGCCCCATTCACTAACATACACTAGACCAGTAGCTCCAGTGTCTATTGTTATACCTGCTGGACCAATAAGCTGTCCAGGACCAGATCCTTTAGTACCAAATTGATGATATAAAATTCTTCAATTACTTTCCACAATCATCCAAGTACATGTATAAGTACATGTATAATTCTACATGTATTATTCTTGTCAATACATCATCTTGCACAGGACTGGTGGATGGTGTTAAATACTTTGAGTTTGTCTTTGACTCTTCTTGGTAGAGGCTCATTAAGTGAATAAATGAATTCTTCCGTTACTGTATTAGTGGTGCCATTGTCGAATATAACCTGAGGGAGAGAGAGAAGAGAGAGAGACAGAGGGAGAAACAGAGATAAATAAAAGGAAAAGAGAGACAAGAATAAAGAATGACAGAGAAAAAGGAGACATAGTGTCAAAATTAAACTACTATTCCCATACAGTACATTCATGTACATGTAACCATACACTCTCTTACTCTGTATTGCGGTACTGTGGTGTATCCGATTATTCTTGCATCATATATTTCTCTTTTGCTCCATTTAACTTTAACACAGCTACCAAGATCAGGAGCTCCATCATTAACCTACAATAATTATGATTATTAATACATGTACATGTACAGCCTCCATTGTATGATAAAAATGTCAACAAAATTAATCTTTTGGCTATACAGTAGTTATTTTTTGCAGTCACATATTCTCTTATAAAACTTCATTTTCTTCCTTGCATCAGTGTCTGCGGCCATACCATGTTGAAAGCACCAGTTCCCATCTGAACACTGAAGTTAAGCAACATCGGGCCGGCTTAGTACTTGGATGGGTGACCGCCTAGGAATCGCTGGTGTCGCAGACTTTTTTTTTCTTTCTACTTGCATATCTTTTTTAAAAAGACTATAAAGACTATAGCTACCTTTTCTTGTTCTTTTTTTATTGCGATACAATACTTTCAAAGGCATAAAAATGCACCCAAAAATCATGTTTTTTGTTATAATAAATATGTAACACTATGTAAATTAGATGTAACAAAAAGAACTAACTATGATATCTCTGAGCAACATTTCAGAGCAAAGGGTTCCGTCGTCAAACTGAACCTCATAAGTTTTAAGAGTATCAATACCACCAACAGTTCCATGAGCATATTGTAACCTGCAAGTATTAAGCAGCAGAAATAAATAGCATAATTATTATTACAAATGATAAAGTAGCTAATACATGTGTTCAACTTAAGGCCTTTTCACACTCTAATGTAATGTGATGCAAAAGTAATGCACATTGAATTGCACATTAATCGTTTTCGCATTAGAGTAAAAACTGTGCCAGTGTGAAAAAATGCCTTTAGATATTATCATTATTAAAAATACAATGTATTATAATACCTTGAAGATCCAGTCTTAGCATACACCTCATCCCCAACAGAAATTGACACAGTTTCCTATCAAGAATACATTAATGACTCAGGCTGGGTTCAACTTTACACAGCAACTTGCAAAACGCATCATTTTTAAACCGATACACTTTGAATGCTGTTTTCCATAGAGTTCTAACAAGATTCTATCATGTTTTTATTTGTTTCCAGTAAACAGAAGCATAAAACAGGCACAAAACTATACTGATTGGATCATTTTTGCTGCTGTGTAAACTTAGACTCAAAACCCATCACAGCACAGCTTACCTCAGAGGTGTGTTTATTGCAGACAAAACCAGATTTTCCAGCTAGCGTCTGCGGTACCAGTGAGCTGTACTGAGCACAAGTGACGTGTAAGTAAGTGTAACATTTAGGCCAAATACACTGGACACAAGCACCACTCTTTGACTCTGAGCAAATGGAGCATTTCTAATAAGAAAAAAAGCATTTATTGGTACATGTACATGTACATGTACATACATGTATAACGGCATTAATTTAATATAAATTTTATATGAATTATGAAATTAATTTTATTAATTTTCATTAATTTCATACTTGCAAT